ATCAGATTGCAGCAGGAAGTGGGTGGAATTACATCAGCTTAGTGCAGTGACACTGTTGCCTAATGCTAAGAACCTCTGGTTGGCTTTTATATGTGCCTTTGGTAAGTAAAAATAAGGAGAATTATTAACAAGTACATTTGGGCAGAGAAAAGCACTGCAAACATGAGGTCTTAGAGGTATGGAGAGAGACAGGAGAGGAATTCTCTGATAATTAAAAGTCATGAGGATCCATTGGTCTAATACGCTGGTCAGTCCTTTCTGGTTGGAAGGTCTCCTTTTATTAAAAAAAAAAAAAAGCACATGGGCACTGCCACTGGGCAGGTTTTACCCATTAACCAACATTCCAGTGGATAAAGACGTTAGTCCCCTGATGTCTACAGCACACCCACTGTGAGTACTCTGAGTTACCACACAGGCTTGAAGTGGGAAGAGCTCTTGGAAGCGATCAAATGCAAGTGGGGGTGAGGGTGGCATCACCCCCATTTTACAAATGGAGAAACGAAGGCCTAGAGCAGGGAAGAAACCTGCCTGCGGTGACGCAGCCATCCTGTGATGGAGTTTCACACCTGAGGCCCGCAGCTCTCCATCCAGCATCCTTTCTGACAGACCAGATCCTCATCCAGAAGGGACATCCTTCCAGGGGGTGAACCACAGTCACCCAGGGAGTTCTTTCCCAACTCCATGGGCCATCTCTATTTCCCTCACCACTTGGGGTGCCCCTTATCTAGAGATTCTGATTCAGTAGGTCAGCCCTGGGGCCTGAGAACCCATAATATTAGTATACCAGGTGATTCTTAGCATTGCTAACCACTACTAAACAATGCCCGCAGGAGTTTTAGCTATTTTCTGTGCTAGAGTGGGTGTTGGAGTGGAAAGGTCACTAGGGACTTTCCACTTGCAGTTAATGAGCATTACTCTGTGTCCTGTACTAATTCCTTATAGCTCCTCTCTTTCTTAACAACCCTAATTCCTGGGCACACAATGGCAGCTCAAAAATGTTGCTGCCTGACCTACTTTGGGGAGATGATTTGAGCAAAAGACTCCCTGGCTAGCCTGGCTGACATGAACATCTCTCTCTGGCTTTGTACTTAGACTGAAGAACCTGGAGCTGGCTGCTGTGGGCGGATCAGACGTCCATGTGAAGATGCTGGCAGCCCCTGTCAATCCATCTGACATTAATATGATCCAAGGTAACCTTGGTTTCTGTGGCTTATGTTAATTGGCTTTTTGCTTAGCCGCCACCTCCTTTTCATTCCTCCCCAGGTGTGGGTGTGAAATTCCTGTGATTAGCAGCAGCTGTTCTCCAGATGAGCCGTCTACAGACCGAGTGAGCCCTCTCTGGCCTCCCCTCCCTGGAGTGTGAGGCTTTTTGAGTTAGGAAGATTGCAGTGGGGAGCAAACCAACCCTTGTGAAGTGTGCGATATGCTGGGCTCATTTCCTGCATTATCTTATCTAATCTTCATAATAACCATGAAGCTGAGGAGTATTATCCCCCTTTACAGATGAAGGAGCTTGGGCTCAGAGAGGTTGGTTAGTTACACAGCTGGTCAGAGGCAGAGGCCAGAACAGGCTGAGGTCTGTCTGACTCCAGAGTCCATGCCCTTTCACTGCCCAAGCTTCACTGCATGATGCTCTGTGCTCTTCTCCCTTAGGAAATTATGGCCTCCTTCCCAAGCTGCCTGCTGTTGGAGGGAATGAAGGTGTTGGACAGGTCGTAGCAGTGGGCAGCAGTGTGACCAGGGTGAAGCCAGGAGACTGGGTGATTCCAGCGAATGCTGGTTTGGGTGAGTTTCTCCGGGTGTCTGCAGCTTTTTTGTTGTTTCAGATCCTATTTCACCCACGTGGTACACGTCCGTTCATTGTATCTGTAAGTAAGCAGCACAGGGTTTATTATTAAGTCCCTATACCCACCTCCAGTGGGGATGGAAGCTGGACCAGGAGAGCCGCAGTTCTGTTTCTTTTGCTCAGGAGGTGATACACCTGCTCTCATCACTGTGGGCGCATGTTGATCGGAGCTATGAGTCTCTGAATCCCTACATCCCTAGGGAATGTAGGGTGCAATGGGGAATCAAATAAGACAGCCCCTTCCCTCCAGGAGGTTAAAATCTAATTGAAGAAATCTCCAAACCAGCAACCTCCATAAAGGGAGGGCTGCAAGTTCACAGGAAGCAGAGGGCACTTCTGGCGACTCTGTGTGAGAGAGACACAGTCTTAAGGAAGGATCAGGGCTTCATGGAGGAGGCTTCATTGGAAGGGACCTTTGATGGATGAATTTTGGTAGGTAGAGATGCACTCCAAATTGTGGCATTTAGAGGAAACAAAATGAGCAAAGACACAAGGGTGAGTTTGGGAAATGGAGAACCCAGTGTAGCCACAGCAGAGGATGAGCATGTGAGAGAGTGCTGCAAAGGTGAAGGGGAGCTTGCAGAGCAGGTGGGGCCGCCTGGGGAAGGCCCTACGAAAGCCATGCTGAGAGTTAGGGTTTTCTGTGACATGTGGTAAAGAGTCTTTGGTGAGATTTGTGTTTTCGTACTTGGTCATTTTTGAGGCACAAACATTATACAGATGGATCCTGACAGGAGCCATAAGAGGGAAGCAGGGCTGACATCCACCCCATTGGACATACGAGGAACTGAAACCTAAGAAGAAGCCCTTGTCCAAATGCAAACAGCTAACTAAAAGGAGAGCCCCTTGGACTCTTGTCTCCTCCGTTTTTCCCGCTACACTCCAATGGGAGGACCCTTTGGGTTATAACTTGCAGAGAGTCAACTCAAACTTGTTTTACCAGAAAAGAAGTTAATTGGTTTGTGGAACTGGGAAGTGCAAGAGATGGAAGGCTTCAGGCACAGCTGGATCCAGAAACACCAATGCTGTGAGACCTCTTTCTCTTATTCTCATTAGCTCTCCAATGGGATCTCCCCACACAGTGATATAGGAATAGCAACAGATATTGACCACTCCCTTTGTACCAGGCACTGTTGTAAGTACTTTACCTATATTTACTCAGTCATTCCCACAACATGATGTACATACTGTTATCATTCCCATTATGCAGATGAGACTACAGTAAATGTAAAGGATTAAGCAATTTGCCCAAGGTCACCCAGCCAATAAGTGGTGGAGGTAAGATTCAGACCCACTCTGATATATACCTTTCATAGATGGCCACCAGCAGCCTGAGGTTTACATCATCCTGAGAGCAAAGAAAGAAGCATGTCCTCCACAGTGTATCCAATACAACCATATCCATCCCCCAGAAGGGCTCTGACCAGCCCTGTCTGGATCCTTGCCCATCCATGAACCTATCACTAGGGGGTGGGCTTAGGCCACTCCAATTGCCCTGGTTGAGTCTCTTGCCAGCCTCTGTGGTACAGAGAGTGAGGCCTTGTGGTCGACAGCCCCAGAGGTTAGGAAGGAGCAGTTCTAGAAAGAAAAATGTACCAGGCGAGAGAAGACAGCACCAGGAGTCTACTAGAAGTTCTTTCCTTCTCTGAGATCAGGGAAGTGCCAGAACGGCCCCACCCTCTCCGAAAGTCCCCTGGCAGTGAAAGAGCACAGCCAGGTGAGCAAATTGAGATCTGTAAGGATTCACTGGATACTGACTGGTGCTTGGGGCCAGGCCCCGTGCAGAGTGAAGGGCACACAACGTGGGTCAGACACAGTCTCTGCCCTCAAAGTGCTCTTGGCTAGGAGTGGGAAAAGAGCATTTAATACAGTGCAGTGTAATGAGTGGTGTAATCACAGGATGAACACAAAGGCAAGAGTTCCCCATCTTGGGAAGCATTAGGAAAGGCTTCTCAGAGAAGTGATGCTTGAACTGGGTCTGGAAGACAGTAGAAGTACAGCCAGGGGAGGAAGGGCTTCCCAGGCAGGGAATGCGGCATGGGCAAAGGTGTGGTGCTGGGAGAAGGCAGGGCATCATCACACTGCAGGTAGCTCAGTATGGCTGGGTCATGGGTGGATAGGGAGAAGTGAGAAGAGGCTGGAGGGGTCGGCTGGGGCCTGGTCGTGGAGGGCTCGCATCCACAGTCACTGGGGGCCTGATGAAGAGTGAACACGAGGAATGATTTGATCAGATCTGTGCAGTGCAGAGAATGCTCTGGAAGGGCAGAGGGTGGAGGCAGGAAGCCAGTGAGGAGGTGGCTGAGCAATCCACGCTTCAGACGATGAGGGCCTGAGCAGGTAGTGCTGTAGGACTGGAGAGACGGGGTGGGCCTAGAAGCTTGGTGAGGTTGGAGAGAATAAAGGACACGTGCCAGGTGTGTGCGTAATTGCACATGTGGGGGGGGGGGGGGGAGAGGGGGGGGGGGGGGGGGGGTGATAGCCAGAGCAGGGATTTCTCCCCGGAGGAAAGGTGATTCTTTTAAAGCAGTCAGAGAGGATGGGGATGAGGATTTTATCATTGTCAGGATGCTAATTAACTCAGTTTATTCAGTAAACATTTTGTGAGCATCTGAGGGTGCCAGGCTCTAACATACAGCAGTGAACAGGCATGGTCTTTCTTCTAGTGAAGACTGCCGTTTAGTAGAGTAGCAGTCATTAAAGAGATAAGTCCTCAACTGGCCAGATCTTGGGCATTTTTCATGCACTGAGCTACTCAGCTGTTGCTGCGCCTGTAGCCAGCTTTTTCCCACATGCAACCAATCCCAAGGGAGACGGAGACAGAGCCAGCTAATGTGTGAACTGGCTTTTTCATTGGAAACACTCAAAGCCCCCTGAGGCAGCATGGGGCATAGCAAGCACTGGCCTGGGAATGAGATACAGGCTCTCCTTCCACCACCACCACCCCACCACCCCACCACCCCATGACCTTGTTTAAATCACAACTACTTTGAGCCTCAGTTTCTTCATCTCTAAAATGGAGCTAATAGTCGTTGCCTTGTCTGTCTCAATTGAGGGAATACATACAATGATCTTTGCAAACACTAAATTTGTGGCAAACTTTTTTCTTAAAGGGCAAATTAGTAAATATTTTAGGCTTTGCAGGCCATTCCACTTGTACTCAACCTTGCCAATGTAAATAGCCATAAATAATACATAAAAAGTGGGCTATGTTCCAATGAAGCTTTATTTACAAAAACAGGTGGTGAGCCAAGTTTGGCCCATGGGCCATAGGTTAGGGACCCCTGCATTAAATGACAGAGATGGTTAAGGGTCAGGTGCACTTGAGTGTGGAATGGGAGTCCTCAGAACTCAGGCCTGGGAATTCAGATCAGAAAAGGAGACCAAGGGATGTTCCACACCTACTGTGTACCAGGCACAGTGACAGGCTGTACAATGTCATCACTTAATCTTCACCCTACAGTGGGAGTGTTATTCTCCGTATTTCATAGATTAGAAAAACTGCAACTCAAAAAGGGTGAAGTGATCATTCAAAGTCAACACAACTAGTGAGTGGCAGAGCCAGGGCTTTTAAGCAGGTCTCTCCAACTCCAAAGTCTAAGGATTTCTACTTTAAAGCCCTGGAGGCTGGCGTGGGTGCTGCCCCCACCCCATCCCACCCAGGTTCTCTTAAGAAGAGGATTAGGGACTGCCAAGCCCCAGAAATCCGTGTCAAGGGTTGGATTTCCATTGTCCTGCCACTAAGGGGAAGTAGAAAACACCTTTGATTTCACGCACAGAAAGCCATTCACTAAGCGTCTGGCACAGAGTAGAGTACAGTAAACGTTGACTAAGATGAATGAGGGTGATAGTTATGAAGATGACGCTGACAATCTGGAAACCAGGCTGCACCAAGCCCAGAGACAGACAAGGTGCCTCCTGGACTCCAAAGCAGTCCTTCAGTTTTTCAACCTCTTATTTTCTCAGCCAGAAATCTACTCTGGGATTGAATAAGGAGTGTTCCTGCCTCCTATCGCCAGTTCCTGGTCCCTAAAGCCCACCTTGGCTCTCCCCTCCTGCAGCACAGTTAGCGGTCTAGGCTGGCCCTGGCTCCCCACACTGGACCACGTAGAGCCAGGGCACTGTCAGAGCCCCAGCCACTGGGTCATGAGTCACACTCGAGCGCTTTAGAAGGGTAGGCCGAGGGCCCCTGAGACATCACAGCCACCAGACGCCAAGCTAACAAGGCTCCAAGTCGTTTCCCTGAGGTGACTTAGCAAGTGCGCGGCAAGCCAGGGCTTGAATCTGCATCTGTCTGACTCTCTGCTTTATACAGGATCCCGCCTGCACAGGTGAGGACCTGTCACCCAATGCTCATCAAATCCTGTTGATTCTATCTTCAAAACATAACTCGAATCCATCTACTTTTCCTCATCCCCACTGCCAAAGTCTAGGCAACCATCACCTCGCATCTGGGCTCCTCCAGAAGCCCCCTGATCAGCCTCCCTGTTCCTACTCTGCCCACCCCTCCACTCCCCCGCCACAGTCTTTTCCACGCAGCAACAAAGTGATCTTAAAGCATAAATCCAATCACCTCAGACTTCTCTAAAATTAGAAGCTTCCTGGAAGCTTCCTGGGACTTCCCTGCCAGTCCAGTGGTTAAGATTCTGCGCTTCCACTGCAGGGAGCACAGGTTCGATCCCTGGTCGGTGAATTAAGATCCCCGATGCCGTGCAGTGCGGCCAATTAATAAATAAATAAATAAATAAGAAAAAGAAAATTAAAGCTTCCTATTCACTAAAATAAAATCCGTTCTTTATGGCATGACCCTGAGCCCTTATGTTTTTCAGACTGCAGGCTGTGACCCATTAGTGAAATCAATCCAGTGGGTTGCAAACAGAATTTTTCTTTTGTTAAAGTTGGTCAGAATAAAATAGAAAATAACAGTACATCACATAGAGTAGGGTAAGTATTGTTCCATGAAACTTTGGCTTCTGTTATGAATCTGTGTATATGTACGTGTATTTACGTATGTACGTGTACTGAGTTAGACTGTTAACACACGGTTACTGTGAGTCAAGATCATGAAAGCCCGTACGACGTCCGTCCAGCCTGTGCCACACCAGCCATGTCTCCAGCCACTCTTCCCACCATTCTTTCCCCTCCTGTGCATTCTTCCTGCTCCATTCCTATGTCTGTCCTGCCTCAGAGTCTCTGCACATGCTTCTTCCTCCACTGGAATGTTCTTTGTGGATTCTGAGAGGCTGCATCTCTCTCCTTCAACTCTTAGCCTGTTGCCTCCTCAGAGAAGCTGTCCCTGACTCCCATCTAAAGTAATTCTCTCCTCTCTCCCTCTCTTTCTCTCTCTCTCTCCCTCTCCCGCTCCCTCTCTCCCTCTCTCCCCCCCTCCCTCCCTCCCTCTCTCTCTCTCTCTCTCTCTCTCTCTCTCTCTCTCTCTCTCTCTGTATAACTTAGAATTCTTGTACTTGCTTGTTCATGTCTCACCTGTTCTGCTCCACTGGATTGAGTGCACTGCGAACGTAAGGACTGTGTCGTTGTTGGAGCGGCCTGGCTCACAGCCGGTGCCGGATGAGTATCTGCAGACGGAAGGGGGCAGCCCGGGGAGCTGGGTGACGGGGCAAGTCACAGCCTCAGTTCCTGCCCTGTTGAGTGAGGACTTTAAATTGGACATTTTATTATTCTTTTGTCTAGAACTGGAATGTGGTCTGGGGGTTAATGAGCATTTTTTTCCAGTTTACAGGATTGTTTCACTTCCCATATCTCATTTGATCTGTGCAACAGTTCTTGGGAGAGACCAGTCAAGGCTCTTCATGCCAGTGTCATCTACATATTAGAATAACCAAATCTCAGTGACTTAGTGCTGTGCTCAGACTAGCAGACCAGCAAAGCCAGGTCCCACACCTCGGCCTTTGCCTTTGGCTTTCATACTTTTTTCCATAATACCACCCGAGTTACCCTGCCTTAGGTGAGAATGAGGACCGAGTGGGAAAATGGGGCTTTCTCAACTTCTCTTGCCCTGGTAATGATGTTGCTGTCTCACCCTCAGAGTCCAGTAGTTTGAGATCCTCAGCCACCTGCTGTGTGACACTAGCTAAATCTGCTGGTAACTGATGTGGGAATAACACAGTCTCCCTAACGTAATTATCATGAGGACTCAGACCTTCCAAAAGGCTTTGGGATTTTCCTTTTTCTCCAAGTATTACTGAAGTCCACTGTCCTCGATGCCCGTCCACTGAGGAGGGGGAGTGGGGTTGGGCATGGAGGGGGTCCTTCCTTACTCCCCTGGCCTCCCGCCACTTAGGAACCTGGCGGACCGAGGCTGTGTTCAGCGAGGAAGCGCTCATCTCGGTTCCGAGTGACATCCCTCTTCAGAGCGCCGCCACCCTGGGCGTCAATCCCTGTACAGCCTACCGGATGCTGATGGACTTCGAGCAGCTGCGGCCAGGTAGGAACCACAGTGGGTGGGCAGGCCAGGCACCCCTGACTGGGGTGTGACCCGTGTCCCGACCCCGAGGCCTGGGAACTTACCTGCGAGGAAGGTGGCCCCAACCTGGGTGGTGGTGTTGCTTTACATGGAAAGATGTTAGCTTGGATCCTGGAAAACATGCTGAAACCTCATGAGGAGTACACCCTAGAAAACCGCTGAAGGGTCACATTCCCTAGAGCTTGGGATGGAATTCTGTCATTCAGCAAATTCGTATGGAGCTGTGCTGAGCTCTGGGGCTACAAAGCCAGACAACATAGACACAGTCCCTGTGTTTTCAATAAAATGCTGAACTTAGTGTTAGTCTTTCCACTCAGCACTGCCAGAGCACTTTCCAGTCCACATATGTGCCTTTCCATGCATTGCCCCGTCAAATGCACTGGACGTCAGAGCGGTGCAATGAGGTCCACAGCACGGGTCTGAACCCCAGCTTCGCCTCACTAACTGGGAACTGACCTCTCAAATCATCAGACTTTTCATCCGTAAAATGGAGAGTAAGGGGTTCTGAGGGCTCACTGAAACATGCTGTGTGACACTTAGCACAGGGCCTGGCATACAACACAGTAAAGGTGCACTGCTGTTATCATTCTCCCTTTTTATAAATGAGGAAACTGAGGTCCAGAGAGGTCAATTATTTGCATGAGGTCACTCAGCAAGGAAATGACAAAGGCAGGTGTTTTATTCCAGGTTCCCCTGAAAGCAGAGCCTAAGAAAAGAACTGGGGGCCGACAGTTCGCTGGGGAGGTGACCCCAGGAAGCAAGAATGAGGGACTGGGGACAGCGACAGGGAAGGAGGAAGAGCCAGCGAAAGCTGATTTCTGCCGTGGGCAACCAGGGCCCAGTCCTTCTGGGGACCTGCCACAGACCCTCACAGAACCCTCCTCAGAACTAACCTCCAAGTGACAGGAGGCTGGGCCACTTACCCACCAACTCCCGTCCCCCTTGGTTGGAGGGTTACCCCACACACCACGCATATCCGGGAGCTGGCAGGGGCCCTAGAGATCACGCAGTCCAGCCCTGTCATGCCGACGAGGAAACTGAGGTGGAGAGATACCGGAGTGTGATCACCTTCGGTGGCAGCTCCGCGTAAGTCTGGCTGAAAACCAGTCCCAGCTTCCTGCAGACAAATGCCGGTTCTCCCAGCTGTGGCAGAGCAGCCCTAGGTCTCTTTAAGTGCAGAAAGCCAGCAGGTGTGATCAGGGACCTTTGCTCAAGTCCCAGTGCAGCAGATGTTTTGGTCGCCTGCATCCTCTCCCCTCAGACCCCCTCTGATTTGGGCTGCAGCTGTGGTCGTCACATCAGGCTATTGAGACACCACCCACCTTTTGTGGCCTATTGTGCCCATGGTGTATCTCTCCACCTTCCTGCCCCAGGGCTGGTGTGAAACGTGTGATTTTGACCCAGAGTAAGAATTACACTTTAAATTGTCATCCAGTATATAGACGTATATGAATATATATGTAATGAAAACCAAAGTTTCATGGAATAATATTTACCCTCACTATGTGTGATGCACTCCACTATTTTTTATTCTATTTTCCTTGATTTTAACTTTAAAAAAAAAAAAAAAGCTTGCAACCCACTAGGTTGGTTTCATAACCCACTGATGGATGACAATCTGTAGGCTGACCCTAGCTAAGGAGGATGGGCCTTCTTCCAGAAACTCCTCTGTCTCTAGCACAAGATCCCTGCTGCCTCTCAAAACCCAGATAGCATTTCAGGGGAACAGAGCCCCTTCCCGGACACAACAGCACTGGGCTCTAATGAGGAGCACCCCAGTGGGTGCTTCAAGGACTCCTGTTTCATGGGGGAGAAACTGAGGTTCAAAGAGGTCAGGACTCATCCCGCCCCGTTCACTTTCCGTTACAGTCAGTGGAGAAGCTGGGACTCACACCCCAGTATGTCTCATTCCAGAGCCCATGCTTTTCCCAGCATGGCCCGTGGCCTCCCCCGTTGGCTAAGTCCAAAGTTAGGCCTCGGCTTTGACCACAGACTATCTGGAGGTCCCTGTTTCAGGGGCTGCCAGTTTCTCCAGTGCAGCTCTAATACCATTTTGAGGCAGTGCATCTTCCCCTCAAGAAGCCACAGCCTGTTGATAGAAATGGACTGAGATAACAACCAAGTATAAGTCAGGGCTGACCGTGACCATTAACAGAGACAGCCGCAGAGTGCTGTGGGAGTGCATGGGGGAAGAATCTGGGAAGGCTTCATGTAGGAGGCCACACTCGAGCTGTCCTTCGAAGGATATACAGGATTTGAAAACGAAGGGAGATGGAAAGAGGAAAACATTGCAAGCCAAAGAAATAACCTAAGCAGAGACTTGAGAACATAAAAATTGGGAGGATGATGAAGGATGCAAAATCATTTACACAGCAGGGTCTAAGTTGCATCCAGTGTGAACTCTTGAGTTGCTGAATCCTGGCAGGCTTCATGGGTGTTGTAGAGGTTTGGGGGGCACGGGAGAAGAGTGAGCAACAGTCCCAGGACTGAGAAGGCTCAGCAGCCAGGTCCTGGGTACTTTCAGAGTCTGAGGACTCCACCTCCGGCCCTATAATAGGATTCTAGGCTGGAAGCCCTTGACCTATTACAGGTCTCAACTTGAGTCTCTTCCTGACTCCACAGGGGATTCTGTCATCCAGAATGCATCCAACAGTGGAGTGGGGCAAGCAGTCATCCAGATCGCCGCAGCCCTGGGCCTGAGGACCATCAACGTGGTCCGAGACAGGTGCGTGGGAAGGCCTGATCCCAGCACACCACTTGGGCCTTTCTGCCAGGCACCCGCGGGTGCCCATGTTTCCACCAGGTGGCGCCCTTGCGTAAGCGGTCTTCCTTTCCTGCGGGCAGGAGCTGGCTTATAGCTGAGTCAGCCACCAGCACTGAAGTCCAGTGGCTTTTGGCTATAGGATGAATGAATCTGAAATGTAAAGGGAGGGCAGGAAGGAGAAGGCCCTTAGTGAACAGCTAAGAGTTTCTGAGACTCTTGACTTGTGATAAACCTCATGCTTTTAAAACCACAGTTCACATTTGGGAATGTTTTAAGCGGTGTTATTCTTTCTGTGAACCAACTAACCCAGAGCCCTTGTTTCCCTTGCATTTGTGTGATACTTTGAAGTGCACTAAATACAGATGTAAAGGAGATGGGGCAGGTTTGTCATCAGAAAGAGGAAGCCACTTGCTCAGGAAGACACAGCAAACCAATGACAAACTTAGTTTCCCAATTTGTTCTCTCTCCATCATATCATCCAACTTCCTTAAGCCTCACCATCCACGCACATGGTTGTGTCTCTTCAGGGAAGCCCAGCCTTGGCAGGAGAACTGATACTCGCTTCAGTTCCCCATCCCCTCAGTTGTGCTAACAAAAAAATTGTTCTGTTTGCCTTGGTAAAGAGGCTCAGAGCCACTCCTGGACCGGAGTGTGTTTGCACAACACTCTGAAAAGCCCCATGAAAAGAGGGGAAAAGGAAGCAAGAGTTTGTCGTTGCAGTAGAAGAAATCAGGAAGTGAAATGACTCCTCCCTGAGCCCAGATGGTTTCTAGCGTCCTTGAGCTGACAGGAGCAGTAGAAACCACCCAGTGCTCTCTCACGCCAGTGAGGAAACTGAGGCCAAGAGATGCTGGCATGTGATGAGACTGGTGGCCAGGCCCAGCTTAGCTTCCCACAAAGAGAAACTCGGGTTCTCACAACTGTGGCAGAGGGGTCCTGGGAGCCTTCCGTGGAGAAAGTGAGCAGATATGACGAGGACCTTGGATTGTGTTTGGTTTCCAGACCTGACATCCAGAAGCTGACCGACAGACTGAAGAATCTGGGGGCCCATCATGTTGTCACAGAAGAGGAACTAAGAAAGCATGAGATGAAAAACTTCTTTAAGGTACCAGTGATGAGGGACATTGCACCTCCATTCCAGGCCCAACTCCCTGAAGAAAGAAATTCACTTGAATTAGAAAAGCTGGCACTGGCCCCATGTCTCCAAAATCCTCCCTTTGTCTCTTTTCCTGGAAGGATAAAGCCCATTCCCTCAGCCAGGGGAAAGCATGCATTAAGTGCCCGGGGCTGGGAGGGGGCAGGAGAGACAGACAAGGTTTGGGAAACCCTGTATGATTGGTAGTTTTGAGTGTTAGTGGTGAACTACACCAGCCCACACAGCCGAAGTCAATCTCAGAGCTGGGAGAGAGCTGAGGAACCTGAGGTACAGGAGGGAAGAGAAAGAAAAGGAGTCCCATTTCCAAAGCATCTGCCTTATATTTTATCTGATAATCCCCACAAAAGCTCCACAAAGTAGGTGCTATCTATTTTATAGGTGAGAAAACGAAGACTTGGAAAAAAAGAAAGGACTTTACTGAGACCACACAGTCATAAGTGGTGGAGGCTGGCTGGTCCCAGGCCTCTCTGAACTCAAAGCCCCTTAACCCTGCCCAGCACACCTAGTAAGTGACCGAACCACATCTCAGCCTCTTATCACTGAATCCTGGACGGACCGGACACACATTTACTTGAGAACACACGCCTCTTGAGAACATTTCTGAAGCAGTAGGTCAGCACATCTAATATAAGCTGAGTTGTAAGTGCTGAGAAGAGGGGGAAATGAAGTCCGTCAAAACAGAACATGGGTGCCCTTTGTCTGTTCTTTCCCAGAGGAGGTGAGTTTTGAACAAAATCCTAAAACAGATAACAGGATTAAGCTGGTAAAGAAAAGGCCCTTCCCAGACGGAGTTGGAAGGCATAACTGTCCCACTTTCTTTGCTCCCTCCTAACACAGCCCTTGGGCCAGGGAAGTGCTGTTTGTTTAGCAAGCTTCCAGCCCCACCACAGAGAGGGGCGGCTCGCTCACCGCAGGTCCCTTCTTCTCCAGGATGTGCCCCAGCCTCAGCTTGCTCTCAACTGTGTCGGCGGGAAAAGCTCCACGGAGCTGCTGCGGCACTTGGCGTAAGTCCCTCGGCCCCATGGGTCCAGTGCACGAAGGCTCCCTCCCGGGATTTAGCCAGGAGGACCACCGAGTGACCAAGTCCCAGTGGCCAGTGCAGGCCAAGGCCAGGTCAGCACGACCCTGAGTAGGAAGATGGGACCCACGTCACGTCCTAGTTACTTGGGCCCTCCCTCTCTCAGCCTCCTCCTTTACAGATGACCATCCAGCTCTGTTCTCCTAGGGACCCCAGAAGTAGACTCCTGGGTGCTCTGTGATAGGGGAACGGGTAAGGATTCATAACCTAGGGGCATCTGAAAAAGTCACTTAGTCCTAGCTTATTAGCTTTTAAGTTTTTTATTAGCTTTTAAAAGTAGATTCTAATTTTAAAAGTAACATCATGCTGTTACAAAACATCTTGAAAGCATGTAAAAGTACAAAGGAAAAGTTAAGCACAAAGCTTACCTATCATCCCACCACAGAGGGGGATGACGTTGACAGTGTTGACAGTGCATGTCCTTTCCTTCTTTTTTTCCTTTAATATAATCTTCTCGAATCGAAGGGCGCCTGAAAGGACACTTCCCAACTAGAGCACCAACATTTGTTAACTCACATTTGCTAGCACTCAGTAGCCACAGGGTACCTAGATGGCTGAGACACTGAGGGAACCCTCTAGAACTCAGGCTGGATGGCAATTTGGGTCATGTGACCAGAGAGCTGTAGTCACAATCACAGAGTGTTTACCACGCACCAGGCTGTGCAGAGTGCATGATGTACCCCTTCCACAATCGCCTAAGTGAGGGGTACTGCTCCCATCCCCGTCCAGACAAGGCCCAGAGAGGGTAGTCAGCTTGCCCGAGTTGCTGTGGCTCCGAGCATACCTCTTCAGCCCCACTCTGGGCAGCCTCCGAGGCCAACTGCCATCCCCACGTGGCTCATGCTTACTAGCTGTGGACCTATGAAAAGTTAAGCAATATGTGAAAAACGATCCAGGTCTCAGTCTCTCCATCAGTAAAATGGGGGGATATAAACCCTTTCTGCCTCAGAAGGTGAGTCCAAGGGGCTCTGAGGTCTGTACACAGTGCTCTACAAATGAGAGGTGGGCCCCAGTTTTCTCGTCTGTGAAAAAGGAGTCATAAAAGTCCTGCCTTGGGGTTACCATGAGGATTCACTGGCCAGCACATGTGAAGGGCTCAGACCTGTGCCTGGCACATAGTAAACACCCAGTATACGGTAGCCATTCTGATTATATCAAGTGTAATGCGGGTCCACAGAGGGAGGGCTCGCCCCCCCCACCATGCAGGAGCTACTTTCCAGAGGAGGTGGCAGTTGAAGGGAACTTAAGACCCGACTGGCCCCCGGCCTCAGGCACAGAGAGTTACCTGCCTCTCGCAGCAGCTTCCTCCACCCTGGAGTTCACAGAGCCTCCCTCGTGTTGTCCCAAAATGTATCTCGGGTCTTCCTTGATCAACAAACTCCTAAAAGAGCCAGGGGAGTGGCGAGGGGAGCACAGGTTAAGTCAGGCATGTGAAGTCCTAGCTTACATTTTAAAAATTATATGAGCCCCTCTCCTGTTTGACCGCTGGGGCGGGTGTGGGTGTCAGACAGCAGGTCCTGACAATTGCCATTGTCTTCTGCGCTGTCCACACCATTCCTTAGCTGCGTCGTCTCACTGGAGCGTGTACAGGAGAGGCAGTGTGGCCCGCTGTGGACATGTTGCCCAGCGTCATACACCGACAGTGGAGTAGAGCCCAGCCCCATCTACTTCTGGCTCCACTCACGACTCGGGTTGTGAGCTTTGCTCAGGGGAGTATTCTTCTCTGCAGCTCTTCCTCAAAGCCTGACTGGGAGCTTAACTCTGGGCTCCCAACCCTGGCTAGACATCGAGGTCATCTGCAAGGGGTGTTTGCTTACTTGTTTGTTTTCTGTCGTCTTTAATGTAGAACTTTGCTTCCCAATTCATTAGGTCTGGGTCAGGCCTAGGGACCTGTATTTTTGAACCCTTCCCAGGGATTCTGAGAACGAGGTTTAAGAACCAGGGTTGGAATAGATGCATTGTAACTGGTTCAAGAAGGGCTCTGTCTCTCCCTGCGACCACTCTCTTCTCTCTGGACCCTTCAGGCCTGGAGGAACCATGGTGACCTATGGGGGGATGGCCAAGCAGCCTGTCATCGCCTCTGTGGTAAGCTGGTGGGGTGGGGCGGGGGAGTGCCTGGAGACAGGGGCCTGGACACCACCGTTGTCTAAACTCAGGCAGTGCCCCCCGCCCCTGGGGGAATCCATACCTTAAGCAGTGCCTGAAGTTCTTGCCCTCAGAGCCCCAGTATGTCCTTCCTGTGTCCGCAGAGCCTGCTCATTTTTAAGGATCTCAAACTTCGGGGCTTTTGGTTATCCCAGTGGAAGAAGGACCACAGTGCAGGTAAGCGGATGCTTGGCCCCATTACCAAGGGTCACATGAGGGCAGTGCCTACTGCAGAAGTGACCAGCCACTCTGAGCCCTGGAGAGGTGATTGGACCCCCAGGCCCACAACAGGATAAAGGAAAACAGTCTCTAAATACAGCTGCAGTCAGCAAATAGTTATTGGACTAAAGTGGGCTAGTCCTTGGGGCACCATATTGAACAAGGCAACCCCTGCCGCCCTCCTGAGGAGCTGACAGTGGGGAAGACTGCCATGGAAGACAGCCAAGGAAAGAGAACAGACTCTGGAACCAGCCTGCCCAGGCCCAAATCCTGCTTCCACCATTACTGGCTATGGGTTCTGCCGAGCGAGCTGTGGGACATTGGGCAAGTTACTTAACCTCTGCCTCAGTTTAAATGTCATAACTGTTTAAACTACTGTCAGCCCTGTTTGACACAGGAGGAAACAGAGGCTCAGAGTAGTGCAGTAGCTTGCCCCAAGTCATCCCCACCTAAGGGGTATGCAGCCAGGACGTGAACAGCCAGTCTCTCTGACTCCAGAACCTGAGCCAGCACACTAGTCTTCCTCTCCTGGAGGACTGGCTCCCCAGATTGTGACCACCACCGACCCCAGGCTGAGCTGAGGAGTGGCGTGGAGCTATCCCAGTGATGGGGAGGGAAGTGGTGGTCTGAGGGGGTGTTCCAAGCAGAGAAAATAGCATGTGTTAAAGCCCAGTAGAGAGTGGGAAGCCGGACAGATAGGTTGTGGCCAGATTACGAAAGGCCTTATAATCCTCTTTAAGGAGCTCAGGCTCAATCTTAAAGGGAAATGGGAGGCACTGAAATGTTTCAAGCAGGGGATACGGCGCAATTTGAATGTTGAATGAATTGATGTCTGCGGAAAAGTACTTCTCAGCCAGGGCCTTCACTGCTCATCTCCCTCCACCGTATCGGGTCCTTGGTGGGGGGCAAGCCCGGGAGGGGACGTTGGTGGCTTCTGCTGGTGCGGTTCTGAGGGAGCCTGGGCTCTCAGGGAAGGCTCTTTTCCCTGAGCAGAGCTCCTCTGCTCCACATTTGTTGGTGTGCCAGGCACCACCCACCCCCTCCTTGTGCCTCTTCTGGCTTCTGCCCCTCTGAATGATTCCACCCTCCCACCATTCAGGACTCCCCGCTACACCCAGTTAGGTCCTGTGGGTCTGAGCCATCACAGCACCACTCTGCCTGCCCATCAGCTCCTGGGGCTGCTCCCCGTACTTCTGTCCCCACCCTGGCCCTCACTGTCCTGGGCACAGGCGGGCCCGAGGCCGCCTCCACAGCGGCCGCCGTGTCCCTGGCCGAGCCCAGGGCTCTCGAGGCTTCCCTGGAGCCCAGCACCAGCTCCTGCCAGCAGGGGAAGCCCGCGTGTCCCCTCACCGAGCCCTGCGGTTGCTCCCCTGTCTGACACCCTCCAACCTCCCACAGACCAGTTCAAGGAGCTGATCCTCACGCTGTGCGATCTCATCCACCGAGGCCAGCTCACGGCCCCTGCCTGCTCCGAGGTCCCACTGCAGGACTACCAGCGTGCCTTAGAAGCGTCCATGCAGCCTTTCGTGTCTTCCAAGCAGATCCTCACCATGTGATGTGATAATCCCAGAGGAGCCGGAGCCAAGTGGGAGGGGAGACGGACCAGCAGGACTGGTTTCGGGCCCCCCACTTGGGGCCTCTCCGCCTTCCGCAGGCTGCTCCTCTCCCCACTGTCACTTCTGAGGTGGAGAATTGGGAGGCCAGCCAAGGCTTTCCCTGGGGCCAGCCTCCAGGTATCTAATAAAGTCCAAACTTCCTAAAAAAACAAACAAACAAAAACCAATAGAAGTCACCCCTAATAAGAAGGACCATCCCTTGCCAGCTGCCAGCACTAGAAGCCCCCCTAGCCCACCCTCCACCTGTCCTCCAGCCATCACTTCCTGACCGCCCTGAAAGCAAAGCCTTGGCGGGGCTGGCAGGTACAAAAGCCAGTAAAACAGATCTCTGCCCTCAAGCCCTCCAAGCCCACAGAGGAGAATCTTCTAAAAAGGAAGGTTTGACTCATTCTCAGGTGGCCTTCGGCTCAAGCTGGGACAGGGGGAGGATCAGCTCCACAGAGGAGTGAATGCCAGGCTGAGAAACCAAGGAAACGGGGTCTCAAGTGCCTGGACCATCCTCATGGAACTTCCATTCTAACTGGGAAGATAGATGTTACACCAGTGGTTCTCAGCCTGAGCTCATTTTACTCCCAGGGGACACTGCGGTTATCATAATTGAGGGGGTGCTACTAGTGCTTAGTGAGTAGAGGTCAGTGATGCTGCTACAGCATCTTACAGTGCACAGCACAGCCTCCCTCAGCAAGGGCTTATCCAGCCCAAATGTCCACAGTGCTGCTGTTGAGAAACCCCGCAGCAAACCACTGGTCCCACGACAGTTACCACAGTGATGAGTGTGCAAAAGAAGACACATGTGAGGTCCTGTGAGCGCCTAACCAAGGTCCTGTCCTAGGCCTCCCTGAGGTGAAGCTTGAAAGTGGGCCCTGAAAAATGAGTAGCTTTATTCAGACAAAGAGAAGAGTTTGACACTGTGAGTTTTTGGTGTTTGCTTCATGATCCACTCACTCAAAGCAAAGAACCAGAGGCTTTGGGGTATCTCCCTCATCACCTGGCCCTCTGTCCCTGAGCTATAGAGCCTCACTGTGGGGGGACTTACTGAGAGCCTAGCATGTGCCTGAGGCCAGGGCTGCCCGTGAGTGACGTGGGGCTGGCCCGCAAGTAGCTAAGCCTATAGTGCACAGCATACTCACGAGGCCGCTGATACGGAGGTGTTCGGAGGGCCTTGGGGACACAGCAGCTCTGCCTGAGGGTTTAAGGAAGGCCTCCCAGAGGAAGTATGGTCACAGCCAATCTTAAGGCCCAGCAGGAGAAGCTGTACCAAGCAAAGCCAACAGCACTCGTGAGAGTCTGGCAGACCTGGAGAGCCTAGCAGTCGGGGAACTGCCCACAGGCAAGTATAGCTGCTGCCTAGGACATGGGGGGAGTATGAAAGACTGAGATGGGAGCAGTGGGCAGCAGTCAGAGCAGGAAGGCTCAGGACTTGCCCCCAAGACATGGGGGAGGCACTGAGGGATTTTAGGCAGTGGAGTGATGTGGAAAACTGGCTCTGAAGGCTAGTTACATGCCAGCACATACCTGGGCCCCGGCATCATCCTCTTGTCTTCGGGAGCATCTTGTGTGTCCTCTGGAGAAAAGGACTCGGCTTCATCCTGGGGCTGGGAAAGGTCTACAGGTGCCCTCTGGGTAAGATTTGCCACCTTGTACACCTGGGCTCAGAATCAGCCGCAGCTCACCCAAGCCCCTTCCATTCTGTATCCTCAAGGTTAGTGGGATGGATGATTTGTAAAGTTGGTCAATGGGGGAAAGTGCAGAAAGTCTGAGAGGGAGCGGGAGGCTGCCCAAAGCCTACAGGAGTGCAAGTTAGGATTAGGCTCTGCAGGGGGACTCCACAAGGTTGGGCTTAGGGCATGTGATGAGCCTGCAGCCATGGAGAAGGATCGGGCCCCTGGTAGAGACCCAGAGTGGGCAGACAGGTGGGAGGAAGGTTCATAGCACCACATCACGGTTAGAGACCTCGGGGGTGTGCAGAGTGTCCCGGGAATAGTACCTCTGGGGGTCTGGAGCTGATTTTTTTTTTTTTTTTTTTTTGGTCTGCTCCGTTTGGCATGAGGGATCTTAGTTCCCCGACCAGGGATCGAAATCATGGCACCTGCATTGGGAGCATGGAGTCTTAACCACTGGACCGCCAGGGAAGTCCCTGGAGCTAGAGCTGACGTTGGGCTTTAAAGGATGATAATATTTTCTCAGGCAGGGAAGGGAGACAAGCATTACAGACTAAGGGACCAGGCTAAGTTATAGAGGCAGAACATTTGTCAGAATCTTCTCGTTTTCCCCAAATACCATTCTATTGCTAAGAATTAAAACTGATGGGGCTTCCCTGGTGGCGCAGTGGTTGAGAGTCCTCCTGCCAATGCAGGGGACACGGGTTCGTGCCCCGGTCCGGGAAGATCCCACGTGCCGCGGAGCGGCTGGGCCCGTGAGCCATGGCCGCTGAGCCTGCGCGTCCAGAGCCCGTGCTCCACAACGGGAGAGGCCACAACAGTGAGAGGCCCGCGTACCACAAAAAAAAAAAAAAAAAGAAAACTGATGACTCTTAGGCGGGCACATGGTGGGCTGGAATAAACAGTGTTTCCCTGCCTCCCTTGCAGCTGACAAGATCTGGCCCATGTGATGTAAGCGGAGGTGCTAGGTGTCCATTTCTTAGGAACCTCTTTAAAATATAGCTGGCATCCATCCTGTACCCTTTCCTTCCCCTTTCACCTTCCTCCTGGCTGGGATACAAACATGGAATTTGCACAGCCATCTTTGACCATGTTGAGAATGGGACAGCAACAAGATCAAAGGAGCCTGGGTCCCTGAGACCCAGAAACGCTGACTGCCCACCCTGAGGACTTGAGAAATAAGCTTCTGTGTTATTTAAGCCCCTAGTGTTTGGGCTTTCTCTGAACCTAATCATAAACGATACATATTCTATGATTTAATTTATATTGAAATCCTATCAATCCATCTGAAGCTGAAAATTTCACAAAATCACAGTCTGAATTTTGGCAGTGTGTGATTCCCAGCTAAGGAATTTGGACTTCACCCTACTGGCAGTAGGGAACAAAAGATTTCTGAGCCAGAAGATCAGAACTGTGGTTCAGAAAAATCCCTCTGGCAGCAATTTGGGGGGACAATTTGGAGAAGGGAGGTGCTAAAGAAAGAGATAATCAGAAATTCCCAGATAAGTAAAGTCTCCCTGAATTTTGAAGACCACAGAGGGATTGTCAACATTTAATGAGGCCAGCAGAGGAAAGGAGCCTGAGGCAAAACAATGTCAAAAGGGAATCTAACTTAAGATGGATCATTGCTTCCCTACTTAACAAGTACAGGAGATTGTTTTTAATTTTCAGGCTGAATAATCTGTGGAGTTGGGACAGCTCTTCAGGCCCACTAAGTAAACAATATACTTTTTAAGTGGCTGAAGGAGGAACTCTGGCTCCAGGAGACCAAAGGAGGACAAACAGGCATGACCTCCTAAAGCAAACCTTGGGTGCACCTGAAGCCCTGAGGCTTCATGACTGGCTCCCCCTGTTGTCTTCTGGAATCAGCCACCCTTCAACTGCCTATAGCCACTGTCATAATATTGATGACTGTCTGGTGTCTTGGGACACCAATTAACCCTGCTTTCCTCAGGGAAAAAACCGATGCCCAGAAGAAAGAGGTTCTTGCATTAACCTGTGTGTGCCAGGCATCTCTGCCCTGGTACCTGGAAGCTGTCAGCAGCTCCCGCCAGCCCCATGCTTATTGGCAGGTACCATGCCCTGGGTAGGACGCTGGGCCCAGCTTGGGCAGCTGGAGGAAATGGTGGAAGAAGAGAAACTCAGTCCTGGCACAGCATCTGCCTGCATCTGAAGGCAGGAAGATCCTGGGAAGACAGAGGGCCCACCTGCAGGTGAGTTAGCACCCTCTGAGAGGGAAGAAAGCTTGCCCTATGTCCCTGACCCTTTACAGTGTACGGGCACTTCCACACGTACCTGCATTTGATTTTTACAACTTCCCTGTGTCATTGAGGTTTTAATATCACCACTTTTCAGAAGAGGAAGATGCTGAGAGAGGAAGTGAGCTGCTCAAGGTCACATAACCAGGAAGCAAGCTGGCACCAGAAGCCAGGTCCCCTGACCCTGTCTGGTCAGCATTCCAGTCAACCCCAGTTCCTCTGGCCCCACAGTTGGCCTTTGAGCTCCCTCTTTTCTCAGGACTCCTTGATTTTGTTCAGTAATAATTGACATGTCACGCAGAACTTCCCTGAGTCTGTGTCTCATGGGGAAGCATGAAAAAAAGAAGCAGGAGGCCACTGAAGTAATCCAGGTGAGAACTCGTTCACTTATTAATTTGGTAAAGAGTTTGAACACCCGATATGTGAAAAGCACTGTCAGAAGTGCCAGGGATACAGCAGAAGCCAAAAATCGTGGCCCATGATACCAGGAAGTTTACATTCTAGTGGAGGAGAAAGACAGTGAACAAGTGAATAAATGTAATTACAGAGTGTAGCAAGTGCTGTGAAAGAAAAAATAAAGTGATATCATAGTGACGGGGGGTACTTGAGAGAAGGTGGGCAAGGAAAGGTCTGAGTCCTGAATAAGAAGTCAGCCATGTTCCAGGCAGGGGGAGCAGCATGTTAAAGCCCTGATGTGTGAACAATATGACAAGGCCTGAACTGGCTTAGTTAAGTGGGAGTGAAGTGAATGGATTCGTGAATATTTAGAAGGAAGAATCAACAAGACAGAGTGAATGAGGTGCGTGAAGGTGGAACTTTGGCACCTTCCTGGAAGGAGGTGCCACTCCCTGAGTTAGCAAGCTCCAGAAGAGGAGCAGGTTTTGGAGACAGGTATTTCGGTGGGTAGGGTTCTTTCCCATCTGTACAATAGGTTGAGCAGGTTATTTAACAACCAAGTTTAGCACTGGTTCTTCATAATACAGGTACTATGATCCTCACACTTTACAAAATACCAAAACGGATCAGGACTGCAGCATAAAAATCAGTTCTAAAAGTAACAGAATAAACCATGGGAGGTTTTGTTTGTTTGGCTACGCCCGGTTTTATTTGCAGCCCGAGGGATCTTTTTTTAGTTGCAGCATGCGGGATCTTCCTTGCATCGTGGATTTATTTATCTATCTATCTGCACCCCATCTTCGCTGCAGCATGCGGAATCTTTAGTTGTGGCATGCAAACTCTTAGTTGCGGCATGCATGTGGGATCTAGTTCCCTAACCAGGGATCGAACCTGGGCCCCCTGCATTGGGAGCGCAGAGTCTTAGCCACTGGACCACCGGGAAGTGTCCAGGGGAGGGTTTTTAAAAAAAAAAATTTTTTTAAACCTCAGAGTGAGGAAGGCCTTTCAAACTACAACACATAATCCAGAATCAAAGAAAAATAAAGGATAAATTTGATCCCATAAACATACAATGTTTTTGCATGACACACTGGGAAAAAATATTTGCAACTCATTTGACAAAGAGCTAATTCTCCTAATACATAGATAGCTCCTATGAATAAGAAAAATGGGCAAAAAATATAAACAGAGAAAGGAAAAATATGTGTCTTAAACATACGAGGCTCACTCCACTCAACATAACTGCAAATTAAATTATCCCAAGATACCATTTTTCAGCTATCAGATTGACAACGATCATAAAGTTTCATAACGTGTTGATGAGGAGATGGAAAAACAGGTGCCTGTGGAAAATTGAGCAATATCTATCAGAACTATGTTTGCCCACACCCGTTGACCCAGCTATTCTACTTCTAGGAATAGATCCTACATATATGTATATATACAAAGTTACTCAGTGAAGCTGTTAAAACAAAAGGTTTCAATCTATCTCAACGTCCTTTCCTAGGGCACTGATTAAAGAAATTACTGTGTATAAAATGGCATATTATGAGCCATAAAGGAAGCTCCTTTTGTACTCTAATGGAATGATTTTCAAATTATACTTAGTGCAGAACTGTATGTATAGTACACCACCACCATTTGCTTTACATGTGTAAAACCTCTGAAAGGACATTTAAGAAATAGATTATATTGTCTGCCTCTAGGCCGCCAGAGGACAGAGATGGGAAGACGTTTCACTGTATATCATTTAAATCAGTTAATGAATTATCCGTTCCACATATAATTTTTAAAGTAAAAACAGCAAAGAAACAAAACTCCTTTGTGGTTCCAGGTAAACTGGGTTAGTGAGAAGGGAACCAATATTTATTGAGCTCCTACCATGTTCCAGATACTGTTCCAAACCCTTCCACATATACTTTTAGTTACCCTGTAGTCCATTGAGATGGGATAAATTATTCTAATTTTACAAGTTAGAAAAGAGATTTACAAGAAAATAGGTTAAGTTGGTCCAGTTAATTTAGCCAGTGCCAAGCCTAATCTAGCTCCAAAGTTCCAGCCTTCTCCACTTTCCACACCGCTTCCACTGAAGCAAGTCATCCTATTTTTAAAGTAATATTGGCGTTACTTTATTGGGCACTTAAGATGTGCTGGGGACAGTACGCCTATAATTCTCAAAACAACGCTGGAAGGCTGGAATTACTAGCCCCCTTTTACAGAGAAGACAAACGAGGCTCAAAAGGGAAGCGCGTAACGACACCAAGGTCAGATACTTAGATGGTTAGAAGCCAGGTTTAATTCCAAATCTACTCTAAAGTCGAAACCACTCCCTGATCAAAGGACAAAAGCTGAAATATTCGAAGAGCTATGGGAGAGGTGCGGACACTTCCGGGGGGAAGGGGGAAAGCCAACGGGCTACGGAGGGCGGCGCAGGCGCTGCGCGCCAAGCTCGCGAGAGAACATGCCCGGAGACTGAAGGCCCCCGCACCGCCCGCGCCGCCTGTCGATCACCTGGCCCCGCCCCGCGCCGGCGCGCCCCCCGGCAAGCCCCGGCCGGGCGGGAAGCGAACGCGCGCTCCCTTCCGTTACCCTCCTCTTGCGGGAAGGGCGGGGGAGGCTGGAGGCGCGTGCTCGCGAGCTGCGTGCTCGCGTACGTCGCCGGGTTCGGCTGCGTCCGTCCCGCCGCCCGCCCGTTGCCGCCGCCGCCGCCGCCGCCGCCGTCGCCGCGCTTTCGCTTCGCCGGCCGCCGCCTAGGGGGGCTGGGGCCAGGCCAAGCCGCCGCCGCCGAAGCTGTTGCCGGGATGCCACGGGTGTACATCGGTCGCCTGAGCTACCAGGCCCGGGAGCGCGATGTGGAGCGCTTCTTTAAGGGCTACGGGAAGATCCTGGAGGTGGATCTGAAGAACGGGTGAGGAGGACGGAAGAGGGGCCTGCCGGGTGGGGACGGGGCCCCGGCGGTGGCGGGGAGGCCGCGGGGACGGGAGTGGGACGCCTACCCCTCGCGGAGCTGCCAGCCTGCTCCGGCTCCGCCATAGTCGCGGCGCCTCGGGGGCGCGGGTAGGCCCCGGTTCCCACTGCGCCTGCGCGGGTGGGGGTGGTGGAGGGATAATGGGAGCGATGGTGAGGCTCTGAGTGGGACGGGAAGAAGGAAAACCTGAGCGGGATTGGGGCTCTGGGAGGGAGGGCACAGCTCCAGGGCTCCGGGGAGGCCTGGGTTTTTCCTTCCCAGGCGCTGGAGCCGGAGCCTGGTTCATCTTCAGTAGAGACCGACCTTTCCCGCTCTGAGGGCTGCTGGAAACAAACAGATTTCCTCCTTCCTTTTCACCTTTTCCCCAGTCTAATGGATCAGATGGTCACAACGCATCTCTCCCGGGGACTGGAGCTCTGAAGGGACGCCCTTTTTAGACTTGCCATGTGCTACACTTTTTTGGGCGGGAGACTCTAGTTTGGGTAGTCTAGGGACGGTTTCGAAAGTATCGGCTTGCGGTGCTGAAAGCCTTCACCGTTCTCTCTACAAGGGTAAATTAAAGTCTTAGCCTGCTATCTTCAAGACTGCGTACAGAGTTTCCACGCTGGGGTTTCCGTTCTCCAAGTTGCCAAAAAATTGTTTTGTCGTTGTAGAATTTGTTAGAGAATAGTGGCCACCGTGACTAGTCAACTAGTTGATGTAGACGGAGACCTACAGTTTAGGAAATTGCTAACTTACTACCCACCCGGGTATGGTCTGTTACTTGTATTCCTAATCTACTGTGGTAGAGCAGGGCCCGCAGGGGCTACAAGTTTCAGGGGAGGCATGAGGAGTCAGCCCTGGAGAAGATATTCTACGGGGAAAACTGTGAGAACCGGGAAATGTTAGGTAGGACTTCAAAGACATGGATATAAAAAAATAAAAGGAGTGGGGGAAGCATTTTCGGGTACTAAACCTTGGCTGTTAGAAGAACTCTTGGCTTTTATTTTTTTCTTTTTTTAAGATCTACTTTGCAACAGGTCTGATATAGCTAGAGTTTACTCCCCAATGTAATACTAGCAACTAACACTTGAGAAGTTATAAAAGATACCTAAGTTGAGCATTTGAGAAAAATTGGAAGCTACAATGTACTCAAACTGTTGGCTGAGTTTAAAATTTTAACAAGTCATTTCAAATTAATTGTTAGGAAGGATCACCTTCTTACTAAGGAAAATGTCCTCCATCAAGTGTTTATTATGAATGCTGATTTCTTTTAGAGTAGAAGGTCTAGGAAGTTACTCATTTTGTTCAATAGAGCTTTCAGTTCTTAAACATACTAGATAAAGTGGGCAGGGGATTGTTCTTGTGATACATATCATATGTCTGAACAATCAAGTTCAAACTCCCAGTTTTCTTCAGAGCCCAATTAAGTTGACAGAGTAAATTTTGTGGGGAAAGCATGGGTTTTGAAAGCAAACAGGCCTGGGTCAAATCGTAGCTTCACCACTTACTACCTATGGGCAAGTTACTTCTCTGATTCTGAGTTTCCTCATCCACCAGGAAAAGGAAGATTGGAGATAATAGTTGTAAAGCATTTGGCTCATAGCTGTAAATGGTAGCTATAATCAAAGGGATTTGACCTTGATCATAGGGAGACATCTTAGCTTAAGTGTTTAGTAACACGAAGCGTATTTGGTGAGGTCTGTTCTCTAAGGTTACTCAAGTGATAGTGAGCAGGAAATGATGTTGATGTTAATAGGAAAGCTAATTAATGGAACAAATATGTTGATAACCGACAAGATGCCTCTACTGTGCTAAATGAAGGGAGGAGGCAGAAAACCAGTTCTGCCCTTGAGTGAATTAAGTGCTTGTGGTTATAACACACACTTTGAGTTAAGCAATGCTTGCTCTCAATTTAAACTCACGAAGTGAAACTTGGAATGGTTTGTCTGAAATAGGCTTTGAAGTGTGGATTGACTGGGGCTTGAAGTGTCTGGGAATAGTGTATGTCATAACTGGTGATGGTAGAATAAGGAAGAATTTTGAGATATAATAAACAGTCTAGCTTGGATTGAGTCTCATGAATGATCTAGAAGTTTAACAACTGTAAGATTTTACACTAGACATTCAAAATCATGGATAGGAGTTCAAATGCTCTGGAGGGAATAATTGAGCAACCTGAGAAATGATGATCTAAGAGGAAGAATCGATCGATCCTTCCAGGACCCTAAATACGTGGGTCTCTTGGGGAACTATTCATTTTTACAGTTGTGCTGCTAAACCATGATATGCATGAAATCTGTGATTGAAAGTCAAGGGAATGAAGAATGGGAAGTCATTTTAGGGATTTGAAGGCAGGTGTGACAGTCACCAAACAGGTGTACCTCCTGGTAGCATTCAGGAATCATTGCAGAGGAATATGACTTCTGAACAAAGGACCAATGGTATATAGATGTATTTCAAGCAATTGACTGGATTAGATGGCAGTAGCACAGAGGAGTTTGAAAGGATGGCATAATTTAGCAACATGTGTAAGCTTATAGTCCTGGAAACATAGGAAGGATAGTAGAGCCCCTTGAGAAGCCTTTTTAACATATCTGGATTGTAATTATTAGTAACTGAAACTCAAAAGATTTTGGATGGTTAGGGCTTTGAAGAATTGCTGAAGAGTTCAAATTTGTAGAAGTGAGATTTATCAGTAGACAGTAGCTATATTGACCTGAAGGGTTGTAGGTAAAGTTCTGAATTAATTAAGTAGGCATAAAGCAGTGGTATAAGAGAAAGTTGACCAAATGAGGCAGCAGATGAGCTCTCCAAGGGAGATTTAGTACAGGAGAACATTTTATGGACCCTCTTGGCATTAGGAGAAGGGAGATGTATGCAGCAGTGTATTGCCTGCTTTTATTGTACCAGGTAACCCTAATCTAGGTTGCCTTAGTTTTAGAGAACTGCTGGAAGGATGGTTTAGTTTGGGACCACGAACATGACGTAAATCTCCCACGGCAACGTAGGCCACTCCAGATCCCCTCTGGTCTCCTCCATTTGTATGTGCCACACTAACGCCAGCAAGAGCCACGGTGGGCCAGGGGTCAAGGAAGCAACAATACTAGCAGCTGTTTATAGCCTTCCAACTCTGTGGTAACTTTTGCTGTCTTTGATTATTTGTGAATTCTGTGAGCTTTCTTTTTTATTAGTAAATCACTTTTTTTCATGTAAAATGTAGATTTTTTTTTTAAGTACAGTACTTTCTTTTGCCACAAAATATTGTGGTTTTGGTCTCAGATCTTTATATTTTAATTTTCCCATATTTTAGTCAATGAATGAAACATATCACATCCTAAGATTATTTTTGCCTAGTAGCTGGACAGGTAAACCCCCAAACCATTGAGGGTTTGGGGGGGTTTTGGTTTTGGTTTTTTGTTTTAGTTGGTTAAATGTGTGAATTAAAGCTCTCCAGGGAAACTTGGCTATAAATTTCAGAACCTTTGTTTCATATTACAGACAGTGAAATTGTGAACAGCCAGAATTTTCAGGGATGTCCTGGTCTGTGTAGTTGGATTTTCATGATATCTAAGTATTACCAAGAAGTTTTTTGTTTTCACCTTCTGTTTTAAATTCCTTCAAGTAGAAGATACCCCTTAGTTAATATTTTAAATATGTTATGGCTTTCAGTGAGTCAAGTCGTTGTTCTGTTTGTCCCTGAGCACTGTAGGGCACTGTTAGGCCTGAGATACTGGGATGAATCTCTGCCAACCCCAGAACCTACAAAGAGATTTTCTCTTTTGACTGAATCCTTGATGAGAGCTTGTTTTTTTCTTCTTGTCTTTTAAAGAGGCAATAAGGAAAATATAATTGATGTTCCAGGTTATTGGTTTCTGGTTAATTGAACTGGTAGTTTAGTATTAAAAGCCCATTCTTGGGAATTCCCTGACAGTCCAGTGGTTAGGACTCTGTGCTTTCACTGCTGAGGACCCGGGTTCAATCCCGGGTCAGGGAACTAAGATCCTGCAAGCTGCATGGTGTGGCCAAAAAAAGAAAAAAGAAAAAAGCACATACTTAATCTGTATAACATTTCAAAATAGTATGTATTTATTTCTGATTATAAAAATTTTACATATTTATTGTACATTTTTTTAAATATAGAGGACAAAAAATGAAAGATGATAGTATCTGCACTTTGAGACTTTGTCTTTTTCTGCACACAGGTGTATGCACTTCTTAAGCCTCCCCGCCTCCCTTTTTCACATTGGATTCGTACTGTACGTTCTGTTTTGTAACCAGCTTCTACCTAACAGCCTGATCCTTTTGTCGTTAAGTGTTCTCCCACAACCTAATTCTTAAGGGCTACATAGTATTCCCACATATAAATACTATTTAATGTACATAAGCAAAACCGTGTTGCAAGACATTGCGGTTGTCTTTGCTTTTCCACTATTTTACACGTATATAAATAACGCTGTGGCAAATATCCTTTAAGTAAATTTTAGGGCAGATTCCTGAAAATGGACTTTGGAGTCAGTGTATGTAGTTGTCCCCCGGTATATTCACAGGATTGGTTCCAGGACTCACTGCAGATACCCAAGTCTATGGATGCCCAAGTCCCATAGTCATCCCTCCACACCCACAGGTTCAACCAACCCAGGATATGGAGAGCTGAGCGTACACATTTTTAACTTTTGCTACCTTTTGATTTCCATGGTATTTGTTTACATTTTCACCTGCCGTATTTAAGAGTTCCTATTTTTCTGAATTCTCAACTACTCTTGATCATAATTTTTAATATTATGACTTTTTAATTAGAATATCTAAAAATATATATTAGGAAGTTGTCTGCAGCCTTTAAACCTTATCTGTTTAGCCTACCAAGCATAACAGGTTCAAGAACTTTTTTTAGAAAATAAGTTTTTGACTGATTAGAAAATAAATACAGGTGCATTGTAGATAATTTAGACAATACCAAC